TCATTCTCGATGGGGAACTTCATCACCAGGTGGTACGCGCGGGGGGTACTGCTCTGATAGAGTTGAGGGATGGTCTTCCTAGTAGGACGTTATAGGCAAAAAGGACGCCTACCACTAAGAAACAGACAGTGGTGGCAACCTGGAAGGGATGGTCTCCTATGATGATGACGAGCTGTATAAACCCGATGGACAAGACTCTTTCACCCAAGAAGCCTAGGAGATGGGTTCTTACGGGTTCAAGCCTCGATCTGTCTATGCCAAGTTGATCAAAGACTAATAGAAAAATAACGTCTGCTGAACAACCATTGTCGATGAGCACCCAATGTACAGTCTTATTTACAATGATAGCATTTACAACCAGAAGGTCGTTGTGAGAGTGCTGGCATCCTTCAAGGTCGGCATTAGAGAAAATGATTTCTAGGTCTTGGCGTCGTATTTTCTAAAATACCTAAACTTTGAGGAAGTCATCTGACCTTGCCCTTTTGGCATACACCTTTCGTGCCAAATTGGACTCGCCCCTTCCTGCGAAACCACCTGAGATGACCCTGATTTCGCCAAAGGCATATTGATGTTGCTGTTGGAGCAGAGTGATAGCTCGAACATCTCACCCTTGATTATTTTGTTCTCTCCTTTCTCCTTCCACATAGTGGTGCAGATGTCCTCTCTAGATTATGTATTCTATCTCTTTCTTGAGTTGGATGCAGTCATTTGTCTCACAACCGGTGTCTTTGTAGAACTCACAATATTTGGAGAGGTCTTGTCTTTTAGGATCAGACTTCATCTGAGGTGGCCATTTGATGAACCTTTCATTTTGGACCTCATCGAGGACCTGTGCAATAGAGGTGATCAGGAGTGGGAGCCGTGCTAGAGCATATCTGGGTTATAACTCTTGTGGTGGGGGTCCCAGGAAGTCTCTAACATTGCCTCTTCTTTTTGGAGAAGGCTTTCTCTCTTTTCTAGGAGAACGATCTCTCTGTGAGGACCGGTCACATTTTTTCTCTTTTCTGGGACTGCGTTCCCTCTTCTTATTTTCTCCTTCTACAGATGTCGACCCTCCTTTTAGGCGAAGGGCTCCTCGCCATTGATGTACTTCTTGGTCTTTGAAAGTACCTCAGCTATGGTGGCATAAGGGTTTTTGATGATTGAAAAAGAGGAGATCCTTTGACTGTATGCCTAGTCCTGACATGAAAGTAGTCAGCGCGAACTTGTCGTCCACGCTTTCTACGTTTAAGCATTCTTGATTGAAACGTTGCACGTAGCTCTGGAGGGACTTGTTGGGTCCTTGTTTAACACTCAAAAGATGATATGAGGGTTTCCTGTATGTTCTGGCCCCTATGAAATGCAACACAAACTGTATAGACAGCTCTCTGAAAGAAGAGATTGATGCCAGCTGCAACCTGTTGAACCGAGCTATCGCCGATCCTTTGAGGGTTATAGCAAAATCTCGGTATCAAATGGGGTCCGGATACCCATGAAACTTCATCTGGTTCTTGTATGAGTTCAAATGATCCACTGGGTCTTTGGTTCCATAAAAGGCCTCTATCAATGACATTCAAAATTTTTTAGGGAGGGAAAAATGAAGGATCTCAAGAATGAGAAGCGACTCAGTCTGTTGGACTAGAGCATCCATGGTGTCGAGGGCTTTCCTGTTAACCACTTCTTTCATGTTTCCCAACTCTTGCTGGATTTCGCGAAGTCTCTGCTCCAGAAAGTGATCCATGACGTCTAGCAAGGGAAGGGTCTGTCATCTTAATGAACGACTCCGGCCTAGCTGTGGGCTTCATTTTCTGTATGTTCACCCAGATGTCTCCTCTGATAATTCTCTTCGGAGTGGCTATGTTTGTGGAGTTCTGTGACTCCATTGGGTGGCACTTAACAGTCCTGAAGAGGAACGTTGTGTTGTGCTGGTGGAGGAGGAGGAGGAGGCTCATGACGCATTGGTGGGATCTGTGGGAGGTGATGAGACTGAATCCATGCTATCAAATCCAGATTCTGCTTCATAAGCTGCATAGTGGTCCGACGGTAGGTTACCAACTCATTGAGTGGAGGTGGATCTACCGCCAGAGGATGATTCTCGACGTCCACTGCGGGGACATGGAGATTCTCTGGTAGGTTCTAATGAACTTGGGGTTTGGTGTGAAATTTACTCATATTCCAAGTAGAAACCATCAAACTAACAGAGATGTATGAAGATAACTTTAAGCAAACGATGAAAACCATTTTTCACAGACGGCGCCAAACTGATGGTGCTCAAAAATATTAACTCAAGTCCAAAACCACAATATGTTAGCCCAAAGAGGGGATAAAATGGAAACATGAGTTAGAAATGGATGAAACTGTGAGAAAAAGGTAAAGACGTTATACGTCCACTATAAGGGAGTCTCTTGCTCCTTGGAGGTGTATATTGCTTAAAGAAGATTATTACAATGGTTCTTTTGGCTTATAGCCTTTACAAGAAATGCTTAGAGAATACAAGCTTATATGCGTGGTTCACAGTGTAGACAATGAGGAAAATGACGATCGTCCTTTGTTCCGCAGGGTAATAGTGTCATATTTATATAGGCAATCCATTTAGGGTTTCTTGCGGCTCCTTCCTCTTTTTTGCTGATTACGTGGGCCCTTTTACTTTTGTCGTGTAGTAACATCTGTCATATGATGCCATTGCATCCACAGCCCTTGAGCGGTTACGCACACCAATATTTTATGTGGCAGAGAGTGCATGTTCGTTATGGGTATCAGAAGTGGTTCCTCTGCCCTTAAGACATGTGGCGCAATGGGAGTGGTTCAGGATCAACAAGGGGGCCACTCCTTTATCCCAAACTGACCTCCTGTTGGGCTAGATTGGGGCTGGTTTGGATTTCAAGCCTTCAGGTACTGTCGGGATTCATCATTTGGGCGCGGTCCATTTTAATCTTGGAGTGGACAGGCTGCGGGTGAGAGGTTTAGGCCACTCTACAAGTAAAGGCTGTCTGGACCTATTGGGCTCTTGATTAGGGCGGCCTATACCTAAAATTTCATCATTATCAAATAAAAAGAACGATGAAAAGATTTATCGAAGCTTAATATTTAATCGAATAATGAAAACCACGTCAATCCATTCTTGTCTTCAACAAATTTATCAAAATCATCTTCAAATCGAAGATCAAAAATTATGCTGATCAAGTCATCATCTTTACCAAATCCACCAAAGCCATTATACTCACCAAATTCATCAGAACATCACTAAATCGAAGGTCGAGAATCACGTTGATTAAGTCCTCATCTTCAACAGATACATCAAAGCATCACCAAGTCAAAGGTCGAGAATCATGCCAACCCAGCGTTCGACGTCGTCAAATTAATTAGAGTCACCACCAAATCAAAAATCGAGAAGCACGCCTAACTGGCCAGCGTCATCATCAAATTCATTGAGAATTATTAGATTTTGCACGTAAGAAACATGCCGAATAAAGTTTACACCATTTTATTAAATCAAGTCAAACAAATTAAACGATTATAATTTGATATTACTTTTATTAAATTTTATACACAAAATTTATCGTTACAACTATTACAGAAAAAGGAAACGAGGTGGTAGGACTTGAGAATCTGGATGACCGTGTTATGGAAAATGCAATTGCATATAATATGCAGTTTGATCTTGGGGCTCTGTGTTTCAAATCTGACACGTGGATTGGGGCCTAAAATCTAATTGCATATGGGCCAGCCCACAACGGCCCAGTCAAACTGGCCACTAGTTCAGTTTCTTTGCAAGTATGCTAAGTACTATTCTAATGCGCTTTTGTTGGCCTGCTTAGACTTGAGTCAATTACATACAAACCCCTTAAAATTCACCTCTCTCGTTAGCATCCATTTTTATAACTATTATAATTTTATTATGTCATTATGATACACAAACATATCAATGCTTGTACTACGTAGGTTTTTTTTTTTTTTTTTTTGAAAAAAATGTAATTTTTGTTTGATTTTTTAAATTTATTCTAATAGATAGTATAATAGAATACAAATGGATATTGATTTTGGTTTTTTGATATATTTGTAGCGATTACAATTTTTTCTTCAAAATTTTGGGATTTTGTTTAGTTTTATTTCAATTGACTTATTCGATATATATGTGTACTAATTATGGTTTTTTTTTTCTAGAAAAAATTGGGTTTTTGATTTTGGTTTTATTTTAATAAAGCGTTAATTACACTAGAGGTTCTCAAAGTATGAAGTTTGCCTCATTTTAATTTTTAATATTTTAATTGTATCATTTTAGTCTTTAAAATATTGAATATTGCTCTATAGGACCTCAAACAAACAACATCTAAATTACTAATAATTTTTTTATCATAAATTTGTCACGTGATACTTAAATATGGACAAAAAAATAACTTGGATAATATTTGACCAAATTTTTTTAGTTAAATAGCTATCCAAATTACACGATTTTGATCATAAGTTATCCAAATTTTGATTAAAAGCTACCCATATTACATATTTTTTGTAAAGAACTACCCAAATTTTGTTTAAGAGCTATAAAATTATTTTTTGTCTATATTTAAGTATTATATAACATATTTATGATAAAAAATCGTTAACAATTTAGACGTTGTTTGCTTAAAAGACCGTATAGAAACATATTCAATATTTTTGAGACCAATTATACAATTGAAACATTAAGGACTAAAGTAAGACAAATCACATACTTTAGAGACTTACAATACAATTTAAAAAATTTATTTAAACTCAGACTCATTTGAAATCTGAACTGAATTGAAAAATAAGTCAAACTCTAATTGGACTCGAATAACTCAATTTGATTATCGACTTCAATCGCACTATCCAACTGGTAGTATGGCCCAATCTTACCACTAACCCACCCACACCCACCCAAACAAAAAAAAAGACAAATTGATGAAAAAAGTAGTAGAAAAATCAGGACAATAATGGCAAATGAGTGCATTAGAAAAATAGAAGGAACCCGTCATACATTCTAATAATACATAGAGTCAAAGAACAACTATATACGAAAACCTCAAGATTTCCGACATAGTAGGCTTCGGAAGAAACTGGAAAGATATGGAGGATAAGTGTTTTCTATATTGACTATTTTTGGAGGGTATGTCTATGAATTGTATGAATATATTCAACGTAAACTTTTCAATTTCTTCCTCTTGGGCATTTTGCTTGTCATCTTGTAAGCATGGACAAATCCGAGAGGACCAAGATGAATTGCTGTTTCCCTGTGAATCTTGATCGATCCACGAGGGGTAGCTTCAAGCTGTCCAAGAGCACTTCCTCTGATAAACACAGTAACAGCGCTCCTGGTGACCAATTTCCTTTTCTTTTTTTTCCCCTCTCTTCAAGTTTTAGATGTTCGTGTATTTTGTTGAATTTTTTCATAATGTGCTCATGGGTCATAATCTTTTGTGTTGTTCTATGATATTCACGTATAATTTAGTGGATTTTTGCGTAGAAACAATGTTTTCTGCTTCTTTAATGTTGGAGTACTCAGAATTTCATGGTATTTGTTTGACATTGTATGATTTTCATGGGTTTAATCTCTTGTGTTTCTCTATAACATTCATATTATTATAACTTAGTTTTTCACGTAAAAAATAATGTTTTCTTCTTTTTTTTCCTTGATCAGTGAGCTTTCAAATTTTCATGGTGTTTGTTTGACATTGTCTGACTTTCATGGGTCATAATCTTTTGTGATTATATATAACATTCATATGAATGTAAATTGATTTTTAATTAGAAAACAATGTTCTCTGTTTTGTTTTGTTTTTTTTTTTTTTTTTTTTTGCATGTGAGTGCTCAAATTTTCCTGTTGTTTGTTTGACAGTGTATGAATTTTGGGTTTATGGAACAATACCCTGAACCCCCCCCCCCCCCCCCACCCAAACAAAATAATCGTCACTACTGTTTTTAGGCAGAATGGATTTCTGATTCTTTCAAATGAGTTTTATCTCACCCACTTTAATTCTGGTGGTAAAGGGCATGTATTTTGGTCAGAGTCATGGGACCAAATGCTATTAGTAAACCTGATTGCAATGTACTCATGTTCTGGAGTTTCTTCAAAATGTTGGCTCATTTAATATATATCTATTGATCAGTATAGGATAGTTTGTGTTTATTATTATATTTTTAACCTATTCATTAGTTTTCTGCAAATGTACGTTAGAAAAAGAAAACTTGGAATTACTATAGGTTTATGGCATTTTTACTTGTTTCAGTTCATGTGCTGTCCAGAGCTTTTGTGTGGGCATTGTTGAATCTTGTAGTTTACTTTTGATTCTTTTGTCCATTTTTCTGTTTTTTTTTCTTTCAATTCCTGGTTTATCTATGAATAGAATATTTTTTTTATAACTTCATCCTCTTTTGGTTTTAGAACAGAAAGCTAGATTTTGCTGTGTGGCAATGATTCTGTTCCATTTAGATAGCTCAAAGATTTCCTTTGGGTCCTTGTTGGGTTGTTCACATGAGCTTATGTGCTTGCTTTATAATATCACCTTGTCATAAATTTTCCACATTCTGTTTGCAGAACAGGACAGTCTCCTATCTTGCAATAGAATTTATGCTAATAACCGTGTTCAAGTTCTGAAGAACCCATATCAGGAGTTCTGTCATATATAGTTTGTCCTTGTTTTTCAAATCATCTACTATTGTTTAGGTAAAATTTATTAGTGATCATGAATAATGGGGCTCGTATAGGTACGCCAAGATCTTCTGTTAGGAAAAGAACAGCCAAGGAGAAAAGCCCCCTTGTGGTTTGCTTTGGGGAACTGTTGATTGACTTTGTGCCAACTGTTTCTGGAGTTTCACTAGCAGAGGCTCCTGGTTTTAAGAAAGCTCCAGGGGGTGCTCCTGCTAATGTTGCTGTTGGAATAGCAAGACTAGGAGGCTATTCAGCTTTTATTGGCAAGGTTCAGTTGTTTTCCGGGCTTTAATGTGCTTATAGATATAGCTGAGTAAACTATCAAATAACAATTGATTTGTTTTCATCTTATTGTTGATTCCCCTTCTTATTACCACGTTTCTTGGACTTGTTTCCAGTTCACTAAGAATTTTAGAAGCCAGGTCGTTGTTTTATTCAAAAAACGTGAGCTATTGCATATTAAGAAGCCACATTAGAGGTGTCTAACAACTTTTTTTTGAAGTAGTTATCAGTTCTTGCCTGCATAATTTATCACCCGAGCTAATGATGACAATGGCATTGAGGATCTACTATTATATGAATTATGAAAAAAATTATGTTGAAGTTTGATGGGCAGCAAAATCTATTCAGTATTTAAATTGTTTCAAGAGAGTGATCCATGCTCTTGCCAGAAAGGAAGAAACAATAGGCTTTTTACATGATTGATAAGTAATACTGGATATATATTTCTGCTCAGTCCAACTTAAGGGCTCACAAATTTCTGTTCCATAATAATGGATGCAGGTTTTCATGCATTGAGATCCCACCATTCCCCCTTCTTCTGCCCGGAAATAATGTATAAATTATGTACATTGGAAGGTGAGAAGCCAGAGTTTTGTTGTGTTGAATGTCCTCAATCGCAGCACGCCCACTTTTGTGAACAATTTTTTTTTTTTTGCGCGCTATGTTGCGTAGTTTAGACTGTAATCTGCTTGTTTGGTATCTTCTAACTTCCTACCTCAATGTTCAGGTTGATTTGTCATATTCATGTTGAATAGCATAGCTTTGTGCTCTTGAAGTTCCATTTTTTGGCTTATTTCTTTTTTTCAGTCCGTCATGTAACCCTCCAAGATTATTTTTTTACACCATATCAACTTCTATTTCATGTCAATATACATTTAATGATCGAGTCCTCTGCATCTCCATTTCAGGTAGGTGAAGATGAATTTGGCCGCATGCTAGCTGATATTCTGAAGCAAAACAATGTTGACAATAGTGGTATGCGTTTCGACCCTATTGCAAGGACTGCACTAGCCTTTGTTACCTTGAGAGCTGATGGCGAGCGTGAATTCATGTTTTTCCGCAATCCAAGTGCTGATATGCTACTCACTGAAGCAGAGCTTGATAAAAGCCTCATTCAAAAGGTAAACATAACCTGAATTGGAGATCAGCTGGATGAAATACTTCAACTGTTCCACAAAACAATGTGCATGTGTGTTTGTGTGCGTGCAGACTTACCAGTGAAATATTCACTTCAAGCCTTTAAAATGCTTTATCTTCTCTAGTGTTTTTTTTTAGGAAGAAAATATATCATGTCATCTTGAATAAGATTTCTCACAGTCCAAGTGTCACAAGTATCTTACATGTAATTACTTCATTTAAAAAGGGTATTATAGGTTTACAGATGAAAGCTTCGTATTGATGTATCAAGGTGTTCTTCTCTAACTATTCTTCACGCAGGCAAGCATATTTCACTATGGTTCAATCAGTTTGATAGAGGAACCATGTAGGTCAGCTCATCTTGCTGCAATGGACATTGCTAAAAAATCAGGATGCATTCTCTCTTACGACCCTAATCTAAGATTGCCTCTCTGGCCCTCGGAAGAAGCTGCCCGAAAGGGCATCAAAAGCATATGGGACCAAGCTGATGTTATTAAGGTACAGCTTTGACTTATTAGATGTGAAAGTCACAAGTATTGGACTAATTTATTTTTCTTCCCAAAACTAAAATTTAATATTGGTCTTCATGGAAATGGCAGATAAGTGAGGAAGAAATCACATTCCTCACTGGAGGTGATGATCCCTATGATGACAATGTGGTCTTAAATAAGCTTTACCACCCAAACCTTAAGCTTCTGATTGTTACTGAAGGGCCAGAGGGCTGCAGATATTACACTAAGGTTAGCTTCCAAAATGTTTGACACCTGATGAAATGGTTCTATTTGTTTTATCAGTATTATTTATGTGTTCTACTGGATCATGGGGTCATGATGACATTTTTTATGTCAATTGTTGATAGTTTTTTGACATTTTCAAATTTTTTCGCACGGTAGAGCAGGCGATCACTTTTACCTTTGTTTTGGAAATTTTTTTGCAGGAGTTTCATGGCAGAGTTCATGGTGTTAAAGTCCAGGCAATTGATACCACTGGCGCAGGTGATGCTTTTGTTGGTAGCTTGCTGAACAGTTTGGCTTCAAACCCAAATTTGTATAAGGTATAGAACTTTCATCCATTGCTTTTAACTATCATTTCATTACATATTGTTTCGGTCAAGAAACTTTGAACTTTATTATGGCAAAGATAGAATGGAATTATAATGTGAAAAAACAGCTCTCCAAGTAATTAATTGATTTGCGATATCTCACTTCAGGATGAAAAGAAATTGAAGGATGCTCTCTTTTTTGCAAATGGCTGTGGAGCTCTCACTGTGACCGAGAAAGGAGCTATTCCTGCGCTGCCCACAAGAGAAGCTGTTCTTGAAGTTTTGAACAAAGGCACAGCTTGAGAAAAATCAGAGATACATACTCATATTTTTTCAGTATGGTACATTTCTGGTTCTCCTGCCAAGCTATGAAAGTTGTGTATTGCTCCCTCAAACTGTTGCATTAAATATCAAGAATTGAATTCCCATAATAAGGGAAAAGTTACTATCATTCCTTATCACCTCCAGTCCAGAATTCTCAATCACCTACCTATCATCGGCTAGGTCATAGAACAAATGATGGAAAATTCAATGTGCCAGCAATATGCATGGTTTGCCCATTTAAGCAGCATACTTGATCGTCAAGCAAGCGATTGGGCGTGGAGAAATGACTAGTACTCATATGCACAAACTGCAAGTTGTAAATTTGAGTAAACCCATGTGAAATGAGAGTGATGAGGTAAAGCTTTTTTCAAATCTATAAAGGGAGAGAGAAATTAGTTCCACCATGAAAATATTGGGGTCGGCAATCGGTGCCTGTGATAGCAAAGGCAGTGTTACTGTTACTACATGGATGCTGCCTAATTCCAGAAAGCATCATGATAACAAAGTAAATACTGCAATAAGTTTCTATCCCTCAAATCCATGACATGCTATTAAAGTTCAAGGGTAAAGGATATGTTTACTGCATTTACATAGCCCTTAAGCCTCCATCATTGGAGTCAAAGAAAATAGATACTGGATTGAAGCATTTTCAATATACAGAATATACAGTAGGATAAGCTATTTAAGCTGTCTTTCCATCATCATATCGGTTTTAGTTTCAATGAAAGAAAAAACAATACACTCACCATACTTTTGCTGGTATTATTGCTTGTGCAAGTGTAAAAAAATCTGATGGGGTTGACTATTTGACAATTGACAAAGAAATTATCATAATATATAGTACATATCTGGTAGATTTGTGAGGTGTGGCATGGATTGTCACTTCTGCAGAGCGCGCTTCATTCTGCTTTCTGGTGGTCCAATGAATAGTTCAGTCTCCACATCTGACTTGTCACTATTTTCTGGGGAGGGTAAATTTCCTCCCTCTTCATTTGATCCTCGCTGACGTTGTAGTCCACACTGAGAAAACATATACATACTCAATGTTATGCAAAATGTATTGAAGGCAAGGAAATCTACCACAGTAGCTACAACAAGTTCAAAAATTCATATAGAGTACTGTTCAGTTCCAAGGTTGTGTATGAGCTTATACATGCACACAAAAACATTTACATAAAACTTCCTGGCCAAGAGAACTGTGTTATTTATCATAAACAATTTCAAGCTGCAGATTGATGCATCATATATCAAATACGTTTTAAGTTGTTGAAACCTGGGTTACCAAATATTAAGAATACAATAAACAAACAGGAAAATGTATAAATATAAATTTTCCTAATGGTCGAAATAGATGATGGGAACACAACAGATAAGCCAAGAAAATTGTAAATGCAATACAAGTTTTCACCTTTTGGCATAGCATTGCATTTTCAGCTTCTAAATCTTTCTCCTGATTTGGTAAGATAAAAAAAAATGACATTAGCAAAATTAGTAAATCAGTCCCTCAATTACAAACATTTATAAATTTGACAGGTAATTTTATATATATACATATGAACACATGTTCCATCTTTGCTTGCTGAGAAATTATAGAGAAACCAGAACATGGGATCTGACAGCCAAAAGTTCAATTCCAATCTGTCAAGTTTCAAACCTTACCGGAAAAAAAAATTTCAATCCCTTTTTCTCTTTCCAATTTCTCAGCACTCAAATAGTTCAAAGTATTATTGAAGCTTGAAATTAATCAATATTTTTTTCAGTTAACCTTTTGTTTAAGTTGCTCGATCCGTTCCCTAAAGACCTGCATCTGAACCATAAAAAAGCTGAATGTGTAAAGAATGTTAAATTATGAATCTTAGGAAACCAATGCATTTGATTCTCATAAGTAGACCTTTCGTGCTCGAATGCTGCTTACACTCCCCTCCAATTGTTTTTCTATCTGTTGTAGTTCTTCAATAGTGCATGACCCCAAACCTTCTCCCAAGAGTTTTCTATTAGCATTCCAAATTCAATGTTCAGAAATAGACATGAACTTGCGCATGATATAACATGAAATATTAAGATACAATGCGTTCCAACCTCTTTGAAATTTCAAGAAGCTCAATCTTTTTTGCCATGTTTGCCGTATCATGTTTCAAATGCTGTCATTTTAAAGAAATTACAATGAGTGAAACCATTGGCACCTGTGCAAACTATTGCAAATAATGCTGCCAAGTAAATTACAAACATTTCTATGTTTGTCATGAGATGGAGAAAATGGGAAAAAACTCATGACAACTTTATTGAATCACAGACATATATGACTTGAATGCTTCTACAATGACATTTACCAGTCAAAGAAAATCAAGTACATGGGGAATATTTGTCTGCTTACTGGCTTCATATATTCAAAAAACAGTATATTTCGTCAAAGGTCTTGTTCATATGTCTCATCAAAAGGCGTTATTTGCATGTAAATACCTATACAAAGAGTCCTATACTTCCATTTGTAAACTATGAGGCGAGAAGCAGTACATTCTGGGAAATCCGTTCGACAATTTTCAATTTCTTCTGTTTAGAGTTTCACTTTTGCAACTCAATCTTTAATTCATCCCAACATTCTTTTAGGTTCCTATGTGAAACATATTTACCACAATACACAGGAGAAAAAACCATATTATCAAACAGTATAAATATACATTTATCTGTCTGTGTCTGTGTGTGTGTGAGAGAGAGAGATGCATAACCAGCATGCTGTGTTCCATAGTAGTGCTGTCATTTTGAACCTCTTTTGTATGTCTCTGATATCTCTCCATGGTCCCTGGCATGCTAAAGAAGTTTGAACACAACATAAATGCAATGAGTACATTTTCTTTTTTACTTCCAAACCAAACATTACAAAAACTAAATCTGCATAATTATTTTAAGCAAATGACGACCTCAGAATAACAACCACAAGCAAGGCAAAGAATTGTAGGATAAAAAACGGATTGCTATGCAATTAAAACTGGTATCCATAAAATCAGACATGACCAAATCCCTCCATTGCTCGGTTATAAAATCGAAGGTTTCTATAATTGAAACATAAATTTAAGATTTAAAGGGTCAATCGTACTTTACAACCAAAAGATTTTAAGACAATCTGGAAAACACATGAAACTGATGCATCTTTATTTGCAACTATGATGAATTGGTGTAACAATACTATCATGCCCTAGATTTCGGTTCGTGATTTTTTCAATTAAGTTTTTACTTTTTATTTGACGTCTAACCATGGAATTTGTAATCTGTTCCTTTGCAACTTCTTGCCAACAAAATAAAATTTTACAAGAAAAATTCAAATTATTTTCAATTACATTAAAGCTTATAATGACATGCACAATAGCATGAAGAAGAATAAGCATCCTAACAAATAGAACACCTTCACAATAAATAATGGGATTAAGCTTTTTCCCACTTGCTTTTAACCTAAAGAAGGATGAGGTACCGTACAATGGACTAGGATCTAACCCAAATTAATGTGCAAAAGAATTCATATCATGCTATCATAGTACTAATAGGTTTCTGCATGTCTCAATTCAACTCAATTTAAAGAATCTTCATCTCGATATTTTTGTGGTCTACTACATGAATCTTGTTTTGTCATTTTGTTCTATTAAGGGTCATATTTTTTGTTAAACCTCATCATATATTTCTTTATTATTTCATTAAAGTTAATTTAGGTATTCCTCTACCCTTTTGCTTACCACTAAATAGCTATATTACTCTTTCTCCCTTGCGTAGTAATTCGCCTATAAACTTGTCCAAACCATCTAAATTAATACTCCTTAATTTATCGCATATATGTGTTTTCTCTATTTTTTACGAATATTCTCATTTATAACATTATTTTTCCTACTTCCTACGTTTAACGTGCATCCATTATGACATTTTCATATTCGCCCCCATCCAATTGTTGATGTTATTTTTTTGTTATCCAACACTCTGATATAAAACATAGCGGGTGTTGTGACGTTCTGGAGGACATTTCTCTTAGTTTAAGAGGTATGCGTTTATTACACAATACTCCAAATGCATTCTTCTATTTAGTACATCATGCTTTAATTATGAGTAAATATCATCACTAATCTTACACTCCTTGTGGATAATTAACCATAAATATCGAACATACTCACGCTTTGATATCTGATGATTTTCAATTTTGATATATTTTCATGTTGAATTCATCTTTTTACCAAAGTTGTATTCCACATATTCAATTTTAGTCATACTTAAATCCTTTTGTTTTTAGGGCCTCTCGGTAGATTTTTAGTTTACTATTAATTCTTTTTTTTTTCTTTCATCTACAAAAAAACATCCACCACGAGAGCTACTCCTACATATATTAAGAAGACAAATGTATAATGAATCATGGAAATATAGATGTGCATCCAAAAGCTTAAACTTTTATACAAGACAACTAATATGAGTTTCTCAACACATCAAAATGCAATATTGTAATGCTCAAATCCTAAATAAGCATATAAATCCACACTATCAATGTGCCACAATACGAATCAGCTCAAGTTCACTTTTGAGACAGGTGTGTGCAGTCAATTTAAACATTATTTCCCAAGGCATTGTCACAGTTTACAGAAAGTAGGCCGAACATATATTTCGCCTTAATAATAGATAAAGGGACACAATTTGGCAATTTTGACTGCCAGGAAATAGATCTTCTTTCAAAAGTGAACAAATATCAACAAGTCTTCCTACCATCGAGGCTACTTGTCATAGAAGTATCATTGTGGCCTTCAAACACTGGTTTTGTGTTTGTAAAACTAAAGAACGAATTGAAAATGGTATTCAAATATATAAAGATCCATTCCACAACTTCTCAATTGTAGAAGTATAAATACTTAAGTTACAACCTCTCCAACAATTTATACTCCTATAGTGGATGGTTGTTTAACGTAGTATCAGAGCAAAGAGTCATGTATTCGAATCTTACCGACACCTTAATTATTAAAAAGAATTCTACGTGCTAGATCCAAAATCTAGCTTGTATGTGAGGGGGCATATTGAAGTATAAATATTTATGTTATACCCGCTCCAACAACTGAAATTTTCAAGTTAGATGGTTATTCAACACCAACATTCCTGTGTTGTATTAGCATCCCTAAACCCAAGGAAGAAGGAATAGATGTCATCTTTCCATTTTCTACTTTGGTCTAGGTGCACAAGCTATTACTAAATTTCACGCGATCAGCTTGTAGCATGCTAATATTTCTAGCATTTTTCATGTGAAATGATACAAGCACACGTTCAACACACTTCTCTAGTTACAAACATAACTTCACAACCATCATATCCTTTGCATACCCAAAATCTATCTTCCAAACCCCATGTTCTTCCAATGAAAACATTGGAAAAATCGTTGCTTAAGCTGTTGCATGAAAAATTGGTAGTATAAAATTCCAAGTACAAAACAGTGAAGAAACTAACTGAAGATATGTTTATTAGACAAGACAAGACACATCAAATGCTAGATGGTAATTTTTTCATTATATATAGATGAACTCTTGGAAATCTACTCCCAGGTTATGCCTAACTTTCAAGGCTGTCACTTTTCCCAAAAAATACTTTCAAGACTCTCTAAGACTGCACTTCTGGTAGCTTTAAGATTAGAACTCAGCTCAAATGCAAAAAATCAGAAAATATAAATGTTCAGAAAAAGAACAAGGTAAGAAGAGGAGTGCAATAGAATTGGTAAATTTGGCTATGCATTTGAACCCTATTTCTAGAGTTCTATGCACCACTTCATGGAGAGTTATATCTCTTCATTTCCATAGCAAAAGGTGCCAACTCAGAATGGTTGAAACCCTTCAATTAGTAGTCGTTGGAGAAATCCCCAATAGGCATTTCAATGGTTAATGTAATTTAAACATTTAAGCTAAATTTTGCATTAGGACCAATCGTTGAAACAGTTATTTTCAACTCCTTAACTGTTGTTTTTTCCTCTCTATATATAGTAAAATTAGAATTCTCATTATATGAGGCTACTATTGAGAGGAATACCTAGAGACCTTGACATAGAAATCAGAAGTCTCATTTTATTTGCAAGAGAAGTCTTGAATCCAAAAACGAACCCAAGGCTCCATTTGAGATTCAATCCAATTTGGTTAAATTCACCCACCAAAGTTCACTTAGTTTTGAAAGGGGTGGGCGAAAGTTTCACTCTCCCACCAATCCCCAATGTTAAAGTATAATATATATATATATATATATATTGTTATACTAATACTTACATTGTTAGTAAATAACATACCATTACATACAACAATCCCTCAATTATTTTGACTAAAAATGATATAATGAAGAAAACTTTGGGTACACTATGATGCATGTCCTCCAATTAGACGAGCCTTGAACACAGGGTCATGAAACTATGAGCTATAAATGATCAAGAGAACTAGATCTTTATCTAGTAGCATCTAAAATTCAAGCAATATGCTGGTATTACACACCAAGTTCACGTCACTTAAGGCACACGTTAAAGGACCATGGGATAACAAGTACCCTAAGGTTTATAGGAAATCCGTAGGTAGTTAGCCTTCACCAACATACTTGCAAAGGCAGACTCATCTAGGGCACACCAAACTGCTCTATTACCCTACACAAAGTTATTAATTTAGTTACGGACAAAATTTAACCTTTTTCCTATGGAATAAGCATTGCATTAACCATTTATGTGACTTTAACCCTCACTGTTCTTAAAATAAGCAATACACTATAAATATAACCTCGCACTAACATTTCCTGAATAATACTTTATCATGTTGCCGGTAACTTGTTAGAGTAGACTACGGTCAATACTATCTCTATTCAATCTGTACAGTCCCATACCTGCCATTGTTTTACTAATCTTTTCACCACATGGTTGATTGGTTAATGAATCTGCTCTTATTTGATCAGCAGGTAAGTATTCAAGTGTAACTTTACCTTTTTTTTATAAGCATTCGAATATGATTATATTTCACGCCAATATGCTTATTATTACTTAATATTCTCTTATTCTTAGTATTGTAAATCACTATTTGATAATCACAATACAAATTAACTAGTCCTTTAAATATCAATAAAAAGAATGACTGATGGTATTCTCCATCTATATAATATTTATCATAGTTTTAAAACCCGGCTCGAACATCAACCCGACAAAGGGACCGGGTCAATGGGTTACTGATTCAACCGTTGGGTCACTGATTATACCGCCAAAATAAAAAAAAATTATAAATAATTATAAATAGATTAAAAAATTAGAATAATTTTTTGATATGAGCATCCAAAACCAAAAAACCCACCTCGCTAGTTCCATGGTTGAATGCCACTTTGCACCCTAAAAGATGATCAAATTCTCAATTTAGACCCTGAAAGATTAAAATTTGCACCTCAACCATGAATAAACTCTGTTCAATCTGATTCCTACCCATAGATCTTCACTTTTTGTTTTCCTAGGTTCTTAGGTGAGCTCCTTATTCTCTTTCAAACCCCTTTATGCTATTTTATACTCAAAATGCCCTTTTGGTCACCAAACAACTTGGTTCATGCTAGGGAAGCTATTTTGTTTTTTGTCACATGAATGGAAACTTTGTTCCTACTTTCAACATTGGTTGTGTTTCCTGTTATGTTATATGTTTGATTACATAGATCCTCAATTAAATGGGGATTTCTTATTTCCTTTTAGGTTGATTCGATAATCAATGGGAATCATAAATGTTTCCTTGTATGTAGATGCTAGTTGTGCATTTCCCCAATCAAAGGGAAGCTATATAATTCCCCAATCAAAGGG